TTTGTACATGTACTTATTTCTTGATTTATGTGAGGTTTCAATAAACGTGAGCACTCGGTCAAGAACTGTGGGAACACTAAGACACAGGGTCGAATTTCAAGAATAAAACTTGTTTTATGTCAGGGAATGAAGTCGTATTACTCACTGAAATTGGCTACAAAGTATTGTAATCAATGCACGGTTACTTTTTTAGTAACCGTGATCAGTGCAAGTTGAAACGACCGAGATAAACTACCGCTTGTAATCCAAGATGGCGATGACCTCATTAGCATAATTTTGTTCATGCACGTATTGATACATCGCATCATAATTACTGAAGAATAGCAGACAGGGTTATGAAACAAATAAACCTTTTATTACTGATGTGAAATGTTTACAAACTATTGTGAATACATAAACATATCCAAATGGGTGGACCTCATTAACATGCTTTATTCACGCACCCACACACATGACAAAATTATGATGCAACAAGTTCCCATCGTCGGCATGCCTCATTATGGTTATGGTAATGGACTTGAGGTTGGCAAAATGTTCTTTCTTCAACGACAAATGCACATGACGGTAATGCCATAGCTGTGATGAAAACAGGGGGGTGGGCGCTTGCCCAGGGAGGAGCGTGTGCCCGGGGTAATACGTTACTATGATTACCTACCATCCACATATTGAGTCATATTCACCAATTAATTACATGTTTACCTGTGAGCTGCATCATGTTTAAGTCATATATTATGTTTACATGTTAGTCAACTTACATGGAATGCCATCAATGTCTTGATTCAAATCAATTGGTATGCCGTCTAAATCCTCTTTAAGTGGCACTCCATCAATTGGCTCAATGTCAATATTAGAAGGTACTGTTTCTTCTTCAACAGTAGGAACACCATCCAAATCTTCAGAAACGGGGACACCATCATAATTCTCTTTTTTTTTTACCTGCATTGAGTAAATTATAGTTAATGATTATTTGACATTCATAGGTGACAATTCTGTTTTCAGGATACCAAACTCATAGTGATTATTAAATACCATTTGTACAGGAATTTGTGGAATATCATCTTTCACTGGATCCTCAAGTATGTCTCTTTCCATAATATTGGCTGTAATCAGACCCAAGAATATGTTCTGCAGTCGGATGAGAAACTCCTGGGGATAAATGGTCCAGTCTTCCCAAGCACGAAAGCAAGCCATTACTTTTTGCTAAAAAACAATACAAAATCAAAGAAGGCTTAGAAAGAGCTCCCATGTGCTGAGAGTTTTGGAGACACATTCAAGAATAATTCGGAATTACTTGTACTTGATTGAAATACATTTGTAGTGATGGAAAAGCTGAAAACTAATAATGCAAATGAGAAAATTAATATGAACAGATCTGAGTGTAAAACTAATGAGGTCTGCGCAATGTAACAGACCATCTATGTACCAAGTTTTATTGAAATGTGATTGGAACCAAAAAAAATTATGAATTATTATGCTAATTAGGGAATTAATATAAACAGATTGTAACCCCAAACTTATCAAGTTTGTACAAATCCTTAGAGCATCGTTGTACCAAGTTTTATTGAAATGGAATAATTAGTACTTTAGATATCAGTGTGATAGCATAAAAGTGGTTAATTATGCAAATTAGTAATTAATATGTACAAATTTTAACCCACAATTATTCAGTCTATTGTCCTACCACATCAATGTACAAAGTTTCATTGAAATGTGATGATTAGTACTTGAGAAATCAGTGTGAAAGCTGAAAATTAACTAATTATGCAATTTAGGTGATTAATATGCACAAATATTTATCCCCCCAAAAATGAATCTCTGCATAGTCCTTGAGTATCTATGTACCAAGTTTCATTAAAATGTAATGCTTACTACTTGAAACATCAAAAGCTGAAAATTAATTAATTATGCAAATCAAGTAATTAATATGCACTGATATTACCTTAAAAACTATCAGATATGTGCAGTGTCCTATGACATCTATGTACCAAGTTTCATTGAAATGTGATGATTAGAACTTTATCAGTGGAAAAACCGAAAATTCACTAATCAGTATGCAAATTAGGTAATTAGTAATTACGTAATTTTTACCAAAAACCAATCAAAAACTTGCATTAGTTCACAGCATCTATGTACCAAGTTTCATCAAAATCCAATGAGTGGTTGTTTAGATATCAGTGGAACAGTCATTTAACAGCTGAAAATTAGCTAATTATCATGCAAATTAAGTAATTAATATGCACAGATTTTTACCCAAAACTAATCAAATCCGCGGACAAGTTCAAAGCATCAATATACCAAGTTTCATCAAAATCCAATGAGTGGTTGTTTAGATATCAGTGAAACAGTCATTTAACAGCTGAAAATTAGCTAATTATCATGCAAATTAAGTAATTAATATGCACAGATTTTTACCCAAAACTAATCAAATCCTCGGACAAGTTCAAAGCATCAATATACCAAGTTTCATCAAAATCCAATGAGTGGTTCTTTAGATATCAATGGAACAGTAATGTAACAGCTAAAAATTAGCTTATTATCATGCAAATTAGGTAATTAATATGCATGGAATTTTACCAAAACCTAATCAAATCTGCGCATTGGCCCAGAGCATCTATGCATCAAGTTTCAACAAAAACTGATATATGGTTCTTGAGATATCAGTGGAACAGACGGACACACACACACACACACATATATACATACACACACACACACACACATACATACAGACACACTAACTGCAAAGACTCCCATTTTGTGCTTCGCACATGGGAGTCAAAAACCAAGTGTAACAAATGATAGATTGCCAGTTTTGATTGAAAAAAAGGAATGAATTTGAAGGCATTTTGAGGCTGCAGGTGTATTATCCAGATTATATGAAGGGGCAGCAATACGTAATCCAACACTAATTATGTCTTTCATTACATCCAACCAATCAGTATCAACTAGACTTTCTCTACTGTCAATCAGATACAATTTTGTTCATGTTTCATTTGATTACTTGTTTAAGTTGTTCATGTTTCATTTGATTACTTGTTTAAGTTGTTCATGTTTCATTTGATTACTTGTTTACGTTGTGGCATTCTGCTTAATTAAATCATAAAAGTTTATTTTTGAGAAATAACTTATTACAACAGTATATTACTGTTCACCTCTGTTCAAAAGCTGAACTGTAAACAAACAAAATGGCTGACAGGCTGAGGGATTAGCATATGTCGCTGTAAATCCATTTTTTGCAAGCCGAAAAAAATGACGTAAAAGTAAGGTAAACTATGCTTGTGTTTATTTTGTTGGTTACAGCAACAAAAGTCTTCCACAAATGTATAATTTCTATTTAACAACAATTTACATACCATCTGAATTTATGGTGTAAATATGGGTAGGGTTTGTGGGAAAACAGTTGAAGGCAAAATCTTTATCATTATCTTCGTTTTAGATCGTACGATAACTCTTGATGCAAAGCAATTTCCATTTCAGCAAAATTTGACCTGAAACATCCCTTGACCTAACAGGTCAATCAAAATGCTGTATCGTACTTCCGATCATTGACAATGTAATTATTTTTTATGCAATGCGGAAGTGAATTACCATGATGTTAATATGCTATCTCTGTTAGCACTGATTTCAATGC